GAAAGAGGAAAATATAATATGTTTGACCTGAATTTTCTGTGGAAACCCTGGACTGACATCTTTGCCTCATATTGAACTGCTTCAACTGTCTCATTCTACACAGGTCAGAAGACAGACAGCCATCAGAGGGTCACTGTTGGTCCCTACTCATCTGCATCTAACCTGGCCTAAACACATTTAAATAAAGACTTGCTTCCCTGCTGATTCTTCTTCAAGCTTTCTGATCCCTCCTCATCTTTTTGTTCATAGGTGCCATATATGAAACATAATATTTTTCTAAATCAACTAAGCAGTTTTTCTCCAAATAAAGGGAGAAGAAATGGTGCTTAAACTCCTCTTGTTTCTAATCCACATCATGTGATGGCTTCTCAGCAGTGTGCTTTAAACTTAAATGTTGGCTTTCCTAAATGTCAGGGGATGTGTTCTGAGAATATCTTATGTGAAGTGTGTGTGTTTTGATATGAGAGTAGACAGTGAATGGGAGACAAAAGTAAAGGGAAATACGACTGTTCACCACAAAGTTCCTTTTTTCTTATCTATACTGCATTTCTTATCTATACAATATTCATTTTAAAAGTAGACTTACAAAGATGAAGGCTATCATGTTTCCAAAATAAGTGGGAGCCCATATCACTTTAAAACACGGGTAGACTTGAAAGTAGCATCTATTTGCAATCCATTCCTAAGATGAATGAAGAAACACAGGTGAACTGCTTATTTCTACTTCTGAACTACTAGTGAGTACACAAACTTCTGCAGAATCTATACAGCCACATAAATTCTTTGGCTTCACAACTTGAGATTTTTTTTCCCTGGCTGGATTTTGCTGCCTTAAATATCAGAGGAAGATGACCAGCTTCCACAGAGCTTCCTTGAAGAGCATCACATAGGAGATGGAAGGCACCTGCTCAGAGAAAGCAAGTGAGAGGAGAAAGCTTTTGAGCACCTGTGCAGCCCTGTGTAAGAAGACCCTAGGGTAGTCTCAGTTCTCTCTGCCATGGGTTTCTTGGTGAGGACCTGAGAAACGAGACAGAGTCACATGCTCTCAATGTAGATCTGTCAGTAATTCTCTCCACAATTTATTAGCCAATTTCAGACAAGTAGGAAGAGGGGAAAATGCCTCCAGTGGAGCTGAAAGCCTAAAAACTTAATGAATTAGAAACACGTATACAGAGTGTAATACTAGACACCAGAGAATCTACTCAGGCAAGCCCTTCTGCAAACACAAGAAATGTTCCAACTGGAGTCTGTACTCAACCACAAGATACAAATCAACAGAAAAGTAGGCTTGATTAGTCCTAATGTTTATGGAATATCTTTTAAAAGCTCATTAATTAGCCACTAGGAGAAGACTGCCATCTTCACTGCATCTAGGGACTGCAGGTAGGCAGTCCAGGTGAGTGAAAACAAGGCTTTCCTTCTTAAAATCTTGTGCTCCACTAGATCCTAGCCTGCTGCATCAAAAAATTGCAGGCTAGAAGGGTTTCTCAAAAACTCATAAAGCATTATTATTTTGATTATTTTATTTCTTGTCGCACTCTTGGTTTGCTAGGCATGCTATTAAGAAAAAGGAAAGAATAGGATCCTGTCATGAAAGCCCTCCACAGGAATTGAGGAAAATACCTTCTCTGTCAACTAGTTATATCATCATGTGGAATTAATTAAGGCTTTACTCATTAGGGCTGTCTTCTAAAGAGTGATTAAAAATCTATATACACTTTATCATGTGTTATTCATTTCTGTAGGGTTTCCTAAAATGGGAATGAAGTAATTATGAAATAAAAAGCAGGGAAAAGGATTTTAATCGGTAACCAAAAAGAAAAAGCTCATAAATGTATTATGAGTTCAACATTTTTCAGATACCAGAAAAGAGAATTCAAAGATAGTAGTGGCTGCAAAAATTATGATTTTAAAATTCTTGTTAGTGAACATATCATAAGTTAAAATTGAGATAAGGTCTTTAAATACCTAATAAACCCCCTTAATGCATTTAGTGCATTAAGTGTAAATGTGTTTTCATTTTGCACTTGCCAGGAATGTTGAATATCATTAGATAGTTAGGCACCCAATGAGGAGTCCCTGAGCCTTGAATCTTCCAGATAGGAAGTGAGTATCTGTCTGCTCTCTGATGTTTGGTGGTGGGGCTGGTGTGATGCAGCAAATGCAGTTTGTGATAGAAAAGCAGGCAGAGAAGATTTATGGTCGCAGCTGGTGTCAAAACGCATTTACTTTCTTTGCTGGTGTTTACACTGTGGCTTTGAAGATTACTCTTGAATGATTCACTTCCTATTTAATGTTCTCATTAGACAAACCTGATCAACACAAACCACTAGGCACTGTCTCATTTTGCAAAAGTACATCTTTTTGCTTGAACTGCATAGCAAATGGTTTCACTAAACTAGCTAAATCGACCCCTTAGGTCCAATGACCAAATTTAATAACTGTTCATCTTTGCTAAAGTACAGTGTTTAATGATCTCATTCATTAATACATCAATGGTTGCTTTGGCTGATTAAATTTCTTCCATCATTTTGACAGTATGATCTAAATGTAAAGTACAAATATTCTGTGTAAAAATGAAACATTGTCTTCTGGGCCAATGTCATAGATTATTTCTTAACTCACTCCAGTAGGCCACCGGAGGAGCTCGTGTTAGGAGCCTTCAGAATTGCTCTCCAGTGTGATGTACTAATCGCTCTACTTGGGAGCCAGAAGCACTTGCA